TATTTGCATAAATGATGTATATTGATCTGAAAACTATGCTAAAGCATATCCAGAATCCATTACCAAGTTATATCCTGGTTTCACCTCCACTGTAGATCACTTTATTTTTAAGACTGTAATTGACATAATTAGAAGTATTGATTCAATTTCAAATGCAGCAAGTTAACTGTAAAAGTGCCAACAGGCTTTAAAAATAGTCAATCTACTGTTGCTTTGCTTGCATGGATGAATCTTAGTTTAGAGTGAACATTTTTTCTTCTTTCTGTGAAATTTTAAGTTGTATCTCTTATTTTGGATGTGCACTTTACATTGAAATAGTGATGTTCTTCACTTGCATGTTGTTTGTTTGGTGTCACAGAGTCCTGAAGGGGTCTGTGTATGGAAATGAATATCATAAAATAATTTCTGGTAGCATCTTGGAGGAGGTACCACAACTGAAAAAACATTTTTGGGTGAGCAAATGTCTTCAAGGTAGAAGATTCTGTGGGTATAAAATGAATCTTGAAAAATGGGGCAGCATGACCTTTTAGCTAGGACAAGGAGTTACATTTTGTACTGCTTTATAGCTAAAATCAGGCAGAAAATTCAAAGTAGTTATTTCCAGTATTAACCAACAAGCAAGTGTGTGTGTGTGCACGTACATGCGCAAGTGTGTACAGGGGCGGGGGCGAGTGATACATAGTGATGCTTGCGTAAGTGCAAAAACCTATCAATCACACACAAAGGTCTCCATAGCAGAATCAAGGGCCTTGAGTTTACAGTTTAAAAAAAGCTTCTCTGTAAGAAGTCTTTTAATTAACACATTGATTACTCAATTCTTCTTTTGAAGCTGTAGCACAGCAACACTCTTCTTTCACATAAAGCTTTTGAAAAGTTCACTTGATGGCAGTTCTATGTAGTACTTAAAAAGAATGGAAGAAACAGGCAATGCTACTATAGATCTCCCTGGAGAAAATGCCCAATCAATTCATTCCGGCAGTGGAAACACAGTGTAGGTTCTTTCAGTGATGCTAAAACTACAAGAGCCGTTTTCAACTATATTTAGCACTCCAGGATCTTTTTTCCCCCTAGTACACTTAAGTAAAAATCTGAAGCTTACTTTCAACACATTATACGTTTCCAGTAAAATGTGCTGTTCCTTCTAAAAATACACTGGTGGAAGGGAACAGAACATTTAGTACCACTTAACATTAACTAAAAGTTGGCTATATACATAACACTACAAATATCTTTCTGAGGCTGTTGTTTGGAGCTGTTCATGTAGCAAGATGCACGTCTTAATAACAGTTCAGTGTGGGCTATATTAAACAAGTTTGTACCTTCTCGTGGGACTAGGTTTAAAATTAGTGAATGGTGCTGAGGTAGAGAGAGAGAGAGAACTTGACTTATGTATAGTTATCACTGGTGTATAGACCCTTGTTTTGTAATGTTATTGTATATGACATTTTGCTAGGTGTGACATTTTGAGGCTTCTCTGCCTTTTTTTTCTTGCTAGATTTAGACCGTGTGTACTGCCCTGACACCCTTTAAAATCAGATACTGTTTTTTTATAATTGTAAGTGGTCTCCAAAGAAAGATTAAGAAGGACATTAGATATTGCTTTGTCTGTGGTTTGACTCCTGTTTTCTTGGAATTGAGTATATATTAAAACAATGTAGCATGAAAGCTGCTCTTGGTAGCTCTGCCTTTCATTATTTCTAGTATTGTATTTCGGTGCTTTGGATGCTGCATTTAAAAACACACGATCCTCTTCATGGAGATTACAGATCCCATGTACATTTTGCAACAGAAGGTTGTTTGGTCCTTGACCATATTTCTTCTCCTCACACTGTTGTGAAGCTATATCTGTATACCTGGCTTTTGCCATCTGCTCCAGAAGGGGCTCCAGTTCAGTGAGGTGACTATAAATTGGGCTAAATCCTGAAGTTCTTGCTAGATTGTACTTAGTTCTTTCTCAGCCAAAGCTGAGGCACTCTGATACCATGGTGATGAGCACAGTATAAAATCCTAGTCAGACAGATATGTTTGATCCGATGACATCAATGGAAGTTCTTCTTCGAGTGCTCGTTCATGTCCATTCCAATCGGCTGTGTGCGCGCGCACGTGCAAAGTGGCCGGAAGATTTTTCCCCTAGCAGCATCCGTCGGGCCGGCCTGGGCGCCCCCTGGAGTCGCACCTTCATGGCACTCAATATAGCACCCTGCCGACCCACCACCCCTTCAGTTCCTTCTTACCGCCAGTGATGGCTGGAACTTCCCTTAGCCCTTGCTTAGCAAGCGCGTTCTATAGTTACCTGTATATAGTTACCTTAGTATCCGTTATTAGTATTAGAGTTCTTAGTATACAGTTGTTGGGGGGTCCCCCCCCATTCTGCCTCCCCGGAGCTGTGGTATGCCACGGTCCCTGGGGTTTAAAAACTGTCTGGCCTGCGTGTAGCTTGATTTAGGGTGTACTGATAATATTAATTTGGATAATATGGGAATTTAATTTATTAATTTATTTTTTATTTATAATTATTATCATCAATATTAATTAGTATGGGTTTTAGGCTCGCCAATCTGTTTGATCAGAAGATAAAAGTTCTTGTCCTGAATCAGGCTTCACAGAATTTACAAAGGACCCTTGGGGGTATGACAGGAAGCTCACTTCAGACAGATATAGTCTTAAAGACTTTTTATTAAAATCAATAATAGTAAGTAAATGGTAAAATACCCAGAGTTATAAAGTTACAGTTGCATTACTGCTATTCAAAAGATACATATGATAATATAGCATTATATGCAACAAAGCTTTAGTTAATATACTCACAACCTTCCTTGATAACCTGGTGGTAAGAGACACAGGAACAGCCTTGCGGTTCAGGTTTCTCAATTCTTGAATGAGGGATGCAGTGCTTAGAAAATGCTAAGAGCTATCAAAGCTGACTAGGGTTTACTTGACTAACTTACATTTAAAATCAAAACCTAATAAAAAAAAAATAAAACTTAGGGAAACCAAGCTTAGCCTAGTTCCTTTGAAACTTAAAGTTTAAGAAGAACAAGTATAGCCTACTGATAGTAGCAGTCATCGTAGATAGATAGATGGAGGAAGTAAGTGAGAATAGAGTAAAGTGAGACTGGAGATGGAGCAAAGTGAGAAATGCAGTACTCTATTGAGGTGGGTCACTTCTTTTATAGGGCAAATGCTGGAAATCCTTCCTTTTATGCCCAAATTTCATTCCTCACCCACAGAAATGTTAGGGTACACTTACCCCATAGGCTAATATGTATGTGCATATTGATGATCGGTATGTACGCACATCAGTCTCTTGTGGTGTACTTGTTAAGTCTGTGGGTACAACATTGAAAAATCCCCTATGCCATTCTCCATTGTCTATTGGTCTAAAAAGGTCATAGGCGTAGGTACTTTTCTATTTCGATAACAAGGTATAGGTCAACTTTGCTTTCTGGGTAAAAGGGAACAGGATATAGATATGCTAACTTTGCTTTAACTTAACATGCAGGGTTTTGTCCTGTTGGTTTCTTGCATTACAGCCAAACTTATTTTTAATATAAATCTATAAACCTATTACAATACTTAAACTATAAGAAAAAAAAAATATATATATATATATAAAAGCAAGCAGGTTAGTCCTATAGGCTACATGCGCGAAGCGCAATACATACTTTTAGTGTTTACGGTGCCTAGGGGAGGGCCACCAAAAGGATCGCTGTAAGATGTGCCGCGAGTTCCACCCTAGAACTCTTAAAGAAAGGGAACAGCGGCTTAAGGTAGTCCTCATGGAGGCAGCCCTATGCCCCCACTCCGACCCGGGCTCAGGGGACCCGGCTCCTAACACTTCGTCCTCAATGCGGAGCGCCCCGGCACTGTCATCAAGCTCGGCGCCAAGAAAGGACTCGTCCCGAGACGCTCGGTGCTGACACGGCACCTCACGAAGCCTGGCTGAGAGCAGGCACTGATCCCACTCACGGGTGCCTCAGAAGAAAAAGAAAAGCCGCTCCCCTCTGTCTAAATCCAGAGAAGTGATTCCCCAGGAGGGCTACAGTTCCAGATCTCCTACTGGGGAGGGAAGAACCTCCAACACTGGTGGACCCACCCTGTCCCCCTGGTGCAGTCAAGAGGGAAGCCAGCTATGATGTCCAGGCACTCCCCCTCTCCATGTCCCTTGCCACCGGTCCACTCGGACAGAAAGCCTACCTGCTCCATGAGCTCTCGATGCTTGAGGCACCGAGGCTCAGTTCCTCCATGGTCTTCAGTCTCTGAGACCTCGGAGTCAGAGTCCGACTCCTATCGCTCCAGGAGAAGCAGGAGCCGCAGATCGAGGTCTGGTAGAGACAGGAGAGAACCCCAGGCAGGGCCTCCACAGTGGCAGAACCCACCACAGTGGCCCTTCTGGACCCCCTGGGCCTTTCACCAAGGACAGGGAGGGACCCAAGGTCACCGCTCCGCAGCGTCTTCTGTGGCCTCAACCACCTTTATCCCACCATCGACACTACGCATCTTCCCTCAGAGCCTGTCCACACACCAATGCCTCTGACAGTGGCACCATCATCGACTCCGGCACTGGATTCGGCACCGACACCGGCACTGCCCTTGGCAACGTCCTTGGCACCGTTCACACGCCCGACTTCCATGCCGGCATTGTTGTCGATGTCGACTACGGCGCAGGCACCAACGGCCCCGGCGCCGATGTCGGCAACGGGCTCTCCCTCTTTGTCGGCGCAGACAAGCGGATCGGCACCAGCTCCATCGATAGTTCCTCCCATCATACTGATGACGTCGCCAACACTTGGTCCAGCGTCTGCAGCCCCAGCACCGTCAAACGCACCACTGGCACTGACATTGCCCCAAGAGTCTAGGGACCCCCTGGGGGCAGATGGCAGGGAGCATCCACTCCTTATAAGCGCTTCCTTTTCTTCATCACTTGATGAAGCATTGGCGGGTACAGCCGTAGCCCCAGTGCTCAAGGACAACAAGGTGCTGCAGCAGTTGCTGCGCAGGGCTGCTCAGGGTCTGGGCATTAAGGCCGAGGAGTTAGTCGAGGAGGCTGATCCCATGGTGGACATCCTTGCCCCCCTCAGGACCTTCCTGGATTGCTCTTCCACTCATTAAAATCATTGCGGACACCACCAAGACCAAGTGGCAGACCCCAGCTTTCTTTCCGCCCACTGCCAAGTGCAATGAGAGGCGTTATTTCATGCCCTCCAGGGGGTTCGAACATTTATACTCCCATCCACCCCCTGACTCTCTTGTTGTGGACACTGCTAACCAGCGTGAGAGACAGGGCTTCCAAGGGCCCTCCCCAAAAAACAGGGAGGCTAAGAATCTAGACCTTGTTGGGAGAAAGGTCTATTCCACAGGGGGTCTGCAGTTCCGTATCTCGAACCAACAGGCCATCGTCAGCAGGTACTTGTATAACACCTGTGCGGCGATGGCCAAATTTACAGAGCTCCTCCCATCAGACTCCCGAACCGAGTTTTCAGCCTTGGTGGAGGAGGAGAAGCTAGTTTCCTGGGCTTCCCTCTGGGCCGCATTGGACACTGCAGATGCTGTAAATAGGGTCATGGCGACAGGGTAGGGGATCCTGGCAGGGAGCAGAGACTCCACTCTCTGGATGTCCGCAGGGCACTGGCCTTTTACATCGAGAGAACGAAACCATTCAGAAAATCGGTACAGTTGTTCATGGCAGTGGCGGACAGGATGAAAGGTCAGCCAGTTTCATCCCAACACATCTCGTCATGGATAGTGTCCTGTATCTGTGAGTGCTACGACCTGGCAGGTGTTCCCGCATCTCCGATCACTGCGCACTCCACCAGGACACAGGCTTCATCTACAGCGTTCCTGGCTCAGGTTCCCGCCCAGGAAATCTGCAGAGTGGCGACGTGGTCCTCCATATACACTTTCGCTGCTCATTATGTGATTACCCAGCAGGCGAGAGATGATACGACCTTCGGACGAGCAGTACTCCAATCAGTGGACAGCTCCGACTCCACCTCCTGAACTTGGCTTGAGAGTCACCTGATTGGAATGGACATGAACAAGCACTCAAAGAAGAAAAAACGGTTACTCGCTTCTTGTAACTGATCTTCAAGATGTGTTGTTCATGTCCATTCCAATACCCACCCTCCTACCCCTCTGTTGGAGTAGCCGGCAAGAAGGAACTGAAGGGGTGGCAGGTCAGCAGGGTCCTATATATTGAGCGCCATGAAGGCATGACTCCAGGGGGCGCCCAGGTTGGCCCGACGGATGCTGCTAGGGGAAAAATCTTCCTGCCACCGTGCATGTGCATGCGCACACACCTGATTGGAATGGGCATGAATAACACATCTCGAAGAACAGCAGTTACGAGAAGTGAGTAACCCTTTTGGGGTTTTTTTGACAGAATAGGAATGTCAAGAATTTGCCCATAGTTTATAAAGTGTTTTTGGAGCCTTTGGGATGACGGATATTATAGAAATATAAAATATTGCCATGGGAAGTCTTTGTTTACTCCAGAGACCAGTATTTTAACTTTTAAAATATCAGCCCAATTTTAAAAACAAAAATACCCAACTCCAGTTTCAAAGAGCTATTCTTTATCCTTTTAATGCTATTATTGAAGATTCTTTAGGAAGAAATTAGTACTTGAAAATCAGTTGGGGAAAAGACATCCTTTGAGGAGGAGTTGTTATTACCTAATATATTGTGCCTAAAGGCCCCAGTGCAGTCATGAGACCCCACTATATGCATGTATAAGACAAAGACCATCCTTGTCCTAACTAGAGATAGTGGGCTGGTCCAGGTCAGCATATGTAAATTTGTCTCTATGATTCCATTATATGATGCATGTTTATAGTGTTTGGACTTGTCTGTACTTGAAAGTTAATTCGGATTAAGGTAGGGTGTGAATTTAGAGAACAATACCTATTCCTAAATAGCTCCATGTGTGTACACTTTTATTCTGGAGTCCATTTTGTTGATTCAGCTAAATCTTACACGCACGCACACACACACAAAAATTGCAGCACTGAAATAATAAATCCACTATAAACTCCAACAATAGAACTAAACTCATACTGGCATATGTATTAGCTTTACAAACTTCCATTTTGAATGGCATAAAAACGAATCCTGTACTGTCGAACGTAAACATCAGCAGAGACGGGACATGGCAGTTCCAACTGCCATGGTGCGAAGTAGTTGTCAGCTCTGTCTAATGCCCTTTGGATGATCACATGGTAGAGGATTACAGGTACAAAAAAGGAGCTATTTCAGTCCCTATCCAGTTGCAGTCAGTGCAAAACTCTGTAGACTTCAGTGGGAGCAGGATTAGTCCCTATACGAGGATGAGACCTATTAAGTGCTTTAATTGATTACAACCTGACAATTCTGCAGAAGTTCAGTATTTCCTTGCAATGATTTAATTTGTTTAAATGTCACCTGTATAAATGGCAGGGGCTATTGGTTTCTTGACAGTGTTGTTGGCACTTTATCAAAGTCAGATGTAGCATGGACTTGCCTAGCAAAATTAAGAGTTGTGAAAGGTGGAGCTGGCACATGAAATGTTACCTTATTGTATAGTTAAGAAATTTCCTTCACTATGTTACTTAATCCCAATTTAGACGAAGAAGGGTCTTAAGACATAGCAGCTGTACAGGAGACGCTTGTTTGCAGCAACACTTTGTAAGAGCAACCACTGCTTATGAGCAACATTTCCCCTGGGAACACTTTTCCTACTGTGAATTGTCAACACTCCCCAATACAGCCACAGCCGCTTAGGAGCAACATAGCAAAAGGACACCGATATGTTGCTACTTATGAGTGTCTGCTGTACTAAAAGTTTACTTGTCAGAGTTCATGACCCATGTAGACAAAATAAGATACTAAGTTTCTGCCTTCTACTACTACCAGAAGCAAAGAGAGACCATGCAAAGCAGAGGCACCTCAGAAAATTTTTCCATGGTACATGGTGTCTATCCCTTTGGGGCCATCTCCACTGCAGCTGCTGACCCCCCAGCACCTCACCTGCTGAGTCCATGCCATGTTTACTCCCCACCATCCAGCCTGACCTGCCCAGGTGCAATGTCACTACGCATCCCTGAAAGGGGACACAGGCTACTGGATGCAGGATGGGGCCTGGCAGGCCCCCAGGAGGGAGCCCAGAGCAGGAGCTGGCCCTATGGCAGCAGCCAGGAACAGCAATGCTGGCCACCCCACCTACAACTGTGCCCCCTCAGGTTTGGCTCCATGGCCCCTAAGTCATGATGGGGGACCAGCATTGATGAGTGATGTGACCTGGTGCATGGGGATCGCAACACCACTCATTTCATGTTGGCCCTCTGGCCCCTCCTTTATGACAGAGGGCCATCAGGGCCATACCTGAGTGGGACAGTGGAACAGCCAGTGCTGCTCCTCCTCACAACTGCCAATAGTACACACTGTGCATAATGTGCATATGGCAGTGGGTGCCACTGCCATGAGATTTGGACCAGGTCCCAGACAAGGGTCAACAAAAAACCAGAGGGATATCTCCTAAGCTTTTGCCAAGCTGGTCTCTTTATCTCAGTCTCAACTCAGACTGCACATTTTCAGAGAATGATTCACAGTGTGGTCGATTCCAGTTTCTTCAGGGTACAGAAAGCAAAGCATCCATTTCATTACAGGTGGCCCCTTTTCTTTCTTCATCCCACCAGACTCCTTTGCTTGCTTTCTCTTTCTTCTTCACTCAATCTGAGCTAAAATCAGCACAGAGATCAATGAGACAAAATATAGATAATTCCGGTATTTGAGTGTAGGAAGGGATATGGCATGAGATGCCAAAAAGAATAAGACAGTTTTCTGTAAAATTCTTACTCCTTCACTGATTTATTTTGGTTGGTCTTGATCCTCCTTCCTAGTACAATCCTTTTCAGAATAGTGCAGCTGTTTTCTTGTTGACTCTTGGTATTTGCTTTTTTCCCTCCTCCTTCATCAACCAGTATTGTACCCATCCTCCTCCTCTTCCTGTCCAAGAGCACAAGGGAACCAAGAGCGGAATGGAGCATTTTCTTTCTAAAAAGTGATCCTGTAAAAAATTATCTCTTGAAGTTCCGCGCTTATTGTCTCTCACGGTATGTCTACACTGCAATTCAACAGCCCCATAGCCTGAGCCCCGCAAGCCCAAATCTGCTGGCACGGGCCTGCCATGGGTGTTTAATTGCAGTGTAAACATAGCGTCAGGGACTCAAGATCAAATCTGCTCAGTTTGCAGTTGAAAAGAGGTTTTTCCTAACTGCCAGCACCCTCAAATACATCCTTCTTTCTGAAAATGAAGCTGGTTGGTTTTGTTTTTTTGGCTCACATATCAGCCACAATAACGGTTCTACATTTGGAACCTGGATAAGAGCTTCAGCACAAACTTAAAAAAAAAAAATCCAGTTCACTCTCCCCAGCTGTATTGGTTCTGCAGTGCTAAGCGGAATAAAGAGTAGGAAATGCTTATATTTGAAGTAAAGTAATCGTGTTGTACTCTAAATGTACCTAGAGGGTAGATTTTTTTGATTAAGAAGGCACTGTTTTTGTCTAGTCACTTTTTCTGACCATGACAACACTATAAACACAGTTTCGTTTAGTTCAGTGGTTCCCAAACTTTAACAACCTGTGAACCCCTTTCACCAAAAGCAGTGATCTTGGATATATAAAATTTGTTTTTATGACATGCTTATTACACACTATTTATTATTAAGTGTCCCTGGCCTCTGTTTGCCAGAAGCTGGGAATGAGCGAAAGGGGATGGATCACTTGATGATTACCTGTTCTGTTCATTCCCTCTGGGGCACCTGGCACTGGCCACTGTCGGAAGACAGGATACTGGGCTAGATGGACCCTTGGTCTGACCCAGTAGGGCCATTCTTATGTTCTTATTTATCATTATAGTATTTTGATTACATTATGAAAATGGCAACACTCTTCCAAGATCTCACTTTCATAGCTTGTATCGCTTTGAATAAGCCTATTATAAGACAAGGCTCCTATGTTTCATCAAGGAGTATC